TGATGATCGACGTACTGGGTCTGGTTGAGCAGTACGACGCGGCACATCCTGTGCCGAAGAAGGACCGCCGGAGAAAGTCTTCCCGGCACGGTCGTAAAGGGATTTCAGGTTGTCAATCCCTTCGTACATCTCAGTAGAGACACGTACGCGCCACCACGGGCTGGTAAGGAGGTAAGCCTCCTTAGGTGCTCGCGCAGAGTTGTTCACACAACATGGGCACGAGTCTCCCCAAGAGAGGCAGGGTAATCCTTTCTCCCTTGACAGACGATGCAGCTTGTAGCGTGCACCTGTCGGGGTTCGCTTTTCAAACTTATCACGAGCTTTGATAAGTTTGTCGTTCCAAGCGTCACGACCTACATCCTCGAGGTTATGGATGTAGGCGTTCCACGCTTGAAGTAGTGAGGGACCATCACGTTTGTGATTCCCACTGTACCATCGATGTCTAAAGAAAGCATCGATGAAGAATTCATGTTCAGCGCGATAGGTTTTCGCGCTGGGGTCAAGGTGATGGATCCTTGACGAATCGAACAATCGTGTTCGATAACGATCACTCGTCGTCGCCGACAAGTGATCCATGACCGATTTTGGAGGCATCCATGCCTTCTTTTCAGGAGCGAGACGCAACACATTGCGGTCCCGCTCTTCCTGCGACGTGCCGACAGAAGTACTGGCACCTCGCTGTGAAGTGGTGTCAATAGAAGAACCGACACCACTGTTAGCGCCCGAGTCTCGCGACCTCGAGCGCCTTCGCTTCGGCGATGGTTCATCTGATTCATCAGATGAACCAAAGATGCTACGACGCATAGCATCATCCATGCCACGCTTGGCAGGCGGCTTGGATTCAATCGCCGTCGATACGGATCCGTCTTCCGTATCAGGAGAGTATGAGACACCGAGCTCATACTCTGTGAAGACATGAGTGTCTTCATGACTAGCGCCTGCATCACCAAGTGACACAGGCTGAGTCGCTTCCGCAACCGATGAGACATCAGTTGCTGTGGTTTCTACTTCGGCGTCCGCACAAAGACGTGCGGACGCGCTCTCGGCGGCCTTGCTCGCGCATCGTATGGGCTTGTTAACCATGCGATGAATTGTTGGGAAGTGGACTCGAACCAACAAGTGCAAACCCTGTCCCAAATGATTTGGGACGAGTATCCATTTAGTCAATCAGTCACTAAAGTGACTGATGGTTAGGGGAGGGGGTGATGTAACGGGGTGAACCGTTACATAACAATTTATAAGAAATTGTTAATAGAATATAACTATAAGTGTTATATTCTCAGAATATTATCATAAGGACAAATATTCTGTAGCACTTACGAGTAGTTCCTAATTGGTTGATATAGGCCATTATATCAACCAACGAAGACGCGCCACGACAGACGCACGCAATGAGTGGTGAGCAGATAACTGATTTACACATTTGTATTTAGACATAGTTAGATGAAGATAAATAGTGATTTATTGCAGACATTAACTATTATAAATACAGTTCTACTTTTTACTTTAACCGAGTACTCGCTTCTTCTTACCGTCTTCCTCTGCACGTACGAGTGTACGTGAAGTCACGAGGCATCGCCTTATTCTGTCATCAGAATAAGTAGCTTGTACTGTCACCAGTACAAGCTTCAGGGTGCCCCGTTACACTTATGAAACGGTCCAGCCAGCAATGGTAAAACTCGAAGTGATGAGCAATTAGGTTAAGTCGTCGAACGATAAATGCTTCTGTGGACTTGATCAGCTCCCGCTCATCGCAACATTTATCTGGTATTTCTGGAACCACTCCAAACAAGCATTAATAATCGAAAAGGATAGTTGACGATCTTACGAAGTTTCGCACTTTAGTTTGCAGTGCCGGAGGCAGCAAGCAGTTCTGCAGAGCGCTTGAGCATATTTTAATCGTACTTTACGTAGGTTTCGTAATAAACGTAAACACAACCCAGGCAGCTAGCTCTCGTTGAGTAGGGGCCGGAGCATCTTGCTGCTTTCTGCAGATATGGGAGCGTTCAGCATCTGTCGTGACTATGTATGAAGAATTTGAAGAGAGAAAACACACAAATTCTACAGCAGCGGGCAGTGGTTCTGGGCACCCCTAAAAATGGAGAGCACGTGACAACACTACCTCTCCTACCTACTATACGCTTCTACCTGATTGCGAGCCCGAAGGGTGAAGCTATTAGTGACTGTGCGCAAGATTGAATACCGACCTTTTTTAATCGTACTTGTTTTGTGCGTCAGTCTGTCTGTCTAAACTATAGTGGCTAGGCGTATCTCACACGTTTATAGTACGATCCAGTCTGTCCTCTTCTAATAAGTAAACATGTATATTTAAAGTCACTCTTTGGCTAGGTCAATATTGTGAGCACGCACCTGATTGGCTTAAAATCGATTAAAGGTGAATATGATCGCACAAGCAAATGCTGGACGCTCATAAGCAAACTCCGATCGCGTTTGCCTGAGTACACTGTTCTGTGTTGATACATTTATTGACAGCACCATGCTCATTCTTCAGTGTCTGCTGTGTATATTGTTTTGCAACTTGATTCAGTTCTCCACACTGCATTATCTTAAATCAAAGGACGAGCTCCAGAGCTTGGTCCCCTATCTTCATGCCGAATTACGTGCCTACCATAAATCCAGCTAACCATTCCTGATGCAGAAACCAGTATCAACTCTTCCTATCGACTCGCTTTGTATCTTCTCTTGCGTTATGATCAATTTGTTAATATCGGCCACACCTCAATTTGACTTGCCTTATCTATAGTGCATTATCTTTCACTGTACTCACCTCTTTCACAACTTGTTTCGGTCCGGCAAACGAAAAATTGTACGGTGATAACACCATATCCAGTAGCTCGAAGTGTTCCAGTCGAAGCGACGACAAAGGCCCATGACGTCTTGGGATCGGATGTGCCACCATAAATTCCCTGATCGATTTTGTAACCTCATCCGCAATGTCTGCAGGCACACAATACAAGGTCTTGTATCTTTTGGTTGTCACCATTGAGAGCCACGCTTTCATGGCTCAAACATTGGAACTGGTTCACACGCGAAATTGCTATAACTCGACTGAAGGTAAAGTTCTGGTCATTCAAAGAATCAGTATCACAATGTACCGCAAGTGCAGCCCCGTTAGCCTTATCCTCTGGCTAATACATGGTATATCGCATTTGCTTACCTGAGTCTTGACAAAGTGACAAGTCAAGATGGTTTCCTTCATTTCGCGGGGCAAGCGGAGTCAAGTCAGGGTCGGCCATCATTTGACCTTGTGGTCAGGGACTCAATTAAAATCACAAGTGACAGACGCCATGCGTCAGTTGTTTTACGACGAACCATTGCATCATGCTCTTGTCACCTGCAAAGGACAACAAAACTGAGTGGAATCAGGGTGGAATCAGGGTTGTCGGTGCTCTTTGCGTTAACGCCACAACTTTTATGATAGAACGCCTGGATGCCTGGATGTGCGTCTACAATAACACCAGTGGTCCATCATGCGTACGATGGAAAAAGTGTGAGTGAACAACATGCAACTGCTTCCAGTCGGTATCATCTGATCGCTTTCCGCGAGTGGAAACAACTCGACTACGCGCATCGTTGGTACCGTCGCCAATGCCCCACCATAAAACATTTGTCCATCGCTTCAAGGCCTCTCCAACAGCTCTGCCTGCGCATCTCGGAGGCACATCGAAAGGCATTCGCCGATCCCACGTGGGTTGCAAGGTCTCCTAAAAGAACAATGCCTGCGACACAATCCAGCTGCCTTTGCTGTGCCATCCACTGCTGTTTTGACGCAGTATGCTACGGCTGCCTAGTTTCGAGCTGCTGTTCAAACTGAACGCCAGGGACGCACAACAGGTGACTGCTGACGATATTTCTTGCTGCCACATGCTCCAAAGGCTGGTTGCTAATGCTGCCGTCAGCCTTCGTAGCAAGTTAGTTACGGACCCAGAAAAAGTTGCATCGATATTGAAGGAGGCAGCAGCCGGAACAATGTCAAGCAAAATGAGGCTGGCTAATTACGCTGCACCCGGCTCATACATCTGCACTCGCACCGCAAGTAGCCAAAGACGGAGCTCGAGGCTGTAGTTGGCACTCTTGCTCGAAAATACCATGAGCAGTTTTTCTCTTTGATGTCGAGACTTGGGTGTGAAAACGAGAGCACGATGTAGTCCTGTCTGCCTGTCTGTAGGATGTTCCGATGTGCGTAAAGACAGAAGATCAGTTGGAAACCCGACGCTTTTCTTGAGCGCGAACTCGATGTTCGCGTCGTCGTCGAAGTGGCAATGGAACTCTCTCTCAATCGTCGACTCTATCGGCGGTCAGGCCACTACAGAAACATAGAGCTCAGGATGTACTTACTCCATGGACACACGTGGATATCAACGTTCTCTAGCCGTGTCCAAGTCTCCCACCCCATCCCCGCATTGAATAATCGCAGCACTCTCTCGACACCATGAAGGCCGTCGTCGACCTCCCTGCCTTCGCGCGTGTTACAATCGAAACTCCACGAGTAACCTAACCAGCCGTGCCCCATCGTTGTCCTGGTGCTGCGGCTCTTCTCCCGGCAGCCGTTCGAACATGAGCTGGGCGCTCGTGTCACAACGTGTCGCTTCCTTGATCCTCGCTAAGCCGTGCAAACGTGCGTCTCCTATCCACACACTCGACGACGTCCAGAGAGGTTTTCAAGATCTGTCTTGCGACAAGAGCTGGACGCCTGCGGCTCTCGATCCCGCGTGCTGAGACTTTGTTGATGCGACTTACTCAGCCAGGCGCGTTGTCGACTCTCTAGCAGCTCGTCTCCTCACGCCCTCAACGTCCGCTCAAACCGCTTCAGAAACCAAACGACGACCTGCTACCGTCACGCATATTGGGATTTGCCCGGCACCTGCCAGCCACCTCAATAGCACGTCGAGGGTGACTGCACAGTAGGCAACAACCCAGCAGCAGTTCACACTCCACGTTCGTACTGTCCTGCACTCTCTTGTCTCTCCATTTGCATCATGCTCGACTCGGCTCCTTCTTGTATGGAGATCGCCCTTAAACCTGCTGACCAAGCTCGGTACGACCGCAATATCGCGTCGTTCCTGTCGGAAGCGGTCGCTCAGTACTCGTCCCAAAGCGGCCATATCGACGAAGCTGCGTGGATTCCCGTCCGACGTCGTCAACAGCTTAGTATCTACAAGAGCGTTCAGGGCACCCGGGATCCCCACGTGACGCTGTTCAAAGGCACAGGATTGATCCACGGACCCGTGCAGGACGTCATGGATGGTGTCTATTGCGACACAACCGACGATCTCCGAGCGTGCAAGACCTTGCTCAAGTACAAGTTGGTAGACGGCAGGATCCTCAACGTGACGGAGCGTCGAAGCCACGAAGCGCCGTACCGCTTTGCCGGGATCAAGTGGTTTGCAGCCAAAGCTGCTTGGGGGTTATCCAAACACCGCGACGTGCTCGCGTACGAACGGATGGGGACGACCACGGACGCTCGGGGCAAGGAACTGGCTTACCATGTCTTGCACTCGATTGACCACCCTGCTTGTCCGATTGACGCGATCAAGGGCATCAAAAGGGAACACCAAGTCACGTGCTTCCTGTACCGGAACTACGACAACTGCCAAGTCGAGTGCTTCATCTGGTCCACGGTGTACAACCTGGACTTTGTCGCACAACGGATGGCCGAGTACGTTGTTGCCGGTACGCTCTTGAACGTCACGAACTGTGTCAACAGTGCGCGGGCCAAGAAGTACTCGATGCTGATGAAACAGGCGCAGCACAGCAAGTGGCCAGCGAATTCCTTCTGCCACATTTGCTACGGGCGGTCCTTCATATCTATCAACCGGCCGTGTGCAGGCTGCTTCCAGAGCGTCTGTCGAGCCTGCTCGGACTACCGCTTTGTCTTCCACATTGACGCCAAGACGGGCCGACCACATCAGCAGCGCTTCTGTAAGCTCTGCATCAACAATACGGTCATCATTGACTCGCAGAGCTTAGAAGCGTCGATCCAGAAAGGTCCGACGGACCTTCCGGTTGACGTGTTGACCACCTCCATGAAAGGAAGGGGCTCTCACGTTGTTCGTGGGGCCCCGCAACCGGGGGCGTCGAGCTGCCACAATGCACTCAAGTGTTCAGCCATGACGATCAAAAGCTCGCAGTCGACGGCCGAAACGAGTCTGCGCTCGAATTACCTCGACTGGGCGAGTGAATGGAGCAGTCAGGATGACGACGATGTTGAGTACCTTCATGAACGGCTAGCAGTAGCTGGACAAGAACGAACACAGAGGACGAGCAAACGCAGTGGAATGGTGTCGCTGTCCGACCTGACTTCAGAAGACAAGTCCTCGCCATATCCAGCCGCTCCGCAGGCGCATCAACCGCAATCTGAAGGACGCAACAACCGCGTGCGGGAGAACCGAGTGCACCAGAAAAAGCACGAGATGTTAGCACGCCAGGAGCTCTCGGACTCAAGCCTGTCCCCACTTGATCTGTATGCAGGAAGTTCCACTTCGTCGCAACGACCACATCAGTCAGCTCATTTGCCACCTTTTCGGTCGCCGTACAAGCCATTGGAGACCAAACGACAGCAGCATTTGGTTTACTTGTCCAGCGATATCTCGAGAGACAGTGAAGACGGCGATGATGTTTATGCGCGATCCATGGCGGATCCTGGTCTGGGGCTGAGCAAGTTCGACCTCGGCATTGTGAATACTGCTCCGGTCGAGGAGTTTGACGACGATCTCGGATGTAGCATGTACTCGGACGATGGGGGCCGTCCGCAAATTAGGCGGCATCCGAGATATGGCCGTACGAGTCATGCAGACAAGGACGGATTCCTGTCGGACTTGTACTCGTTGTCGCGCTCGAGAATACACGGTCAGCACTAGGAAGTAGCCACACCGGTGTTTAGTTAGCAAGAAAGCGCGATAGGAATCATTTAACCGACGCACAGTCCTCGATGGTAGGGGCTCTGCACGAAACGTAAAGATCAGTTTATTTGTTATCGTCGTTGTTGTTGTTCCAGCAACTCTCAGTTGTAAGCTGTAGCAAACGTCGCACCATGTGAGATGGAAAGGAAGAACGCAGCCAAACAACGGATAAAGATTGGCATCCTACACGCGTTCCTTGCTGGATCTGGCTGGGAACTCATGACAGCATGCACCATGAAAACTGCTCCCATCATTGTTGTCTTTAATACTGCCACGACACCAACAGCAAAAAGGTAGAACCGCAACACCAGCAGCTGCCTTGAGCGATCTCTCATCCAAGCACTGGTATTAATATTGATGTTTTACCTGCACGTGAACGATCGAGACCCACTCGCAACGAGACGAGCACTTCCACCATTACAAAATATCTGATGCAGAAGCTTCCTTGCGAGCACTACCGCAGCTCTCGAGATTTACATCCTCTCTTTCTCTGTCATCAAGTCAGCACCAATCGTTGTCTCGTCAAGTATGGCCCTGTGCACTATCCCTCGTTAGCATGTCGCATTGTCGTGCCCGTCTTCGCGACAAGTTTTGCATCGGTTACGACAGTACCCTAGAGATCCCAATACCGAAAACACCGAACGCATCAAACGTTGTCCAACTCTCAAGCCGATTCTCCACTCTTCCGTGCGTGCAACCACCACAACGAAAGTTTGACGTAGCCCTTCCCTATCGAACGATACAGCAGCATAGAAGGAATACACGGACATTGTCCATACTAAAAAGATACTCAATTTCGTATTCTACCGCTCATTACAAGACGAGCGGAAGGAACCCCGCACAGAACTCGTTCTCGTTGGTATCTCTTTGTTAACTCTTTTGACCATATACTCTCCCCCTCTCAAGTTAATCCCACCGGAACGTCTAGTGTATAAGCCCAATGACGTGGCGGCCCAAGCTGTAGACGTAGTAGCCAGTCACGCTGGTGACGAGCAGTAGAAAACTGTCTAAAGAGTCGATAGAAAAACAAAGTTAAAACGGGGCCACTCCTAGAGAGCAAGAGAAAACGAGACAATCGAAAAACAACGCACTGAAGATCGAGACCTCCCACCAGCTCAGCATCGTCAGCCCGAACTCCAGCTTGTACCATCGGTATTGACGCGCCACGTAGTCGAACATGGGCGAGAGCTCCTCGGTCACTTTCTTGACTGGTTTACGATGCAAAAGGGGACTTGTATAAACTTTCGCAGGCCATACATCGCCGCGAGCTCGATCTCGATTGTGAAACTGTATTTGATATTGTAGCCATTTCGAAACGTCGTTTATCACGAACGTCACCGTTAATCGGTTTAGGTCCTGCGACGCGACAGCGACAACTGAGTCACCTCAATTTCAAAAGACTAGAGGCTTATACGTTCATGTTTACAGAAGTACATTGTGAATGGCATGAACAGCAATTAAAATCTCTTTTGCGATATCAAAACTCTTGAAAAAGCCTCGAGATGGCAAAAGAGAGTGTACTGAAGACGGTAAGTTCCAACACAGCCATGTAGGAAACAAACGAGCTGCCACTCTATGAGCTCAGTGATCGTAGCAAGGGTACGTGGTCTCCGTCACTCAAACTGCTGGTCGCGTCTCTCGTATCTACAACCGTGGATCCTGTATATCCTTCTTCCGACCCGACAGCTCGGTACCCAGAGCCTTGGCCACTTCGTCTCGTCTCATCAACACCAACACCGGTCCACATGTCGTTAAAATCTCCATTCCGCTTTGACGCGACAATGAGAGTGCCCAAAGTCGTGGGCACGAGGTACATTAGTGCTGGTTGGCCCATTTGCGTGATTGTCACAGCCAGATTGGCGAGCGCGAGGCCGACAGCATAGCCGACGCCCATAAGACGGAAGTAGTTCGTAGTACCCTGAGCGTCATCGAATCGCAGCGCAAGCGAAAGAAGCATGCCTGGCAAAACAATGTCGCCAAGACCAAGCATGCTGACACCGCCGGCCCAATTTAGCATCCGCGGCATCACAAGAAGCATTGGCATCGGCTCAGGATCGACACAAGCCTGATACTGCGGGTATCGCTCGCAGTAGTCAATGCCAGGGTAGCCGCTTTTCGTGTACGCGGCTGGTCCACCAGTGGCCACATCTTCCATGACGCTCGAGCCAAAAAAAATGGGCGACAGGAATACGAAAAACACGTCGTAGAAGAATCCAAGCGTAAGGAACACCGTAGCCACTTTGAGATTCGGCAACTGTACCGATCGCAGAAAAACGAAGCAAAGGCAGATGCCCATGATATCCTGCAAGATCCAGTAGTCACGTCGGTGCAGATACCACACAATAGCAAGGGTACAGCTCGGCAGGAGTCCGAGAAGCTCAGATAAGCGAGCAGTATCGCCGATAAAGTGAGGTAGCGTAATCTTACGAGCAGCCAATTCCGGCATCCACTTTTCTAATGCGGGCGTTGCTACTACTTGCGTCATCGAGGCTGCAGCAGATACTGCAAAAAGCACAGGGATAGCAGCAGCAACATTTACAAAATACAACACCGTCAAGATAACTCCAGCCAGGACGATAAAACCCACTGCATGTCTGACGTCAAGTTCCCATATCCCACGGTCTTCCTCCTCGGAAACTTCCTGCTCAATGTGCCGGTTCTCTTGCCCACAAAGTACTCCACTGTCATCATACATCGGTACCACCCTCGCAGAATAACACGCTGCTCCGATCGCGGTCGCCACGCCTAGCGCCCACAACAGCATCGAAGACACGTCGATTATTGGCAGTTCCCGTCGATAAGTGCGTGCCACGAGTGACAACGTGGAATATCTATCCATCACCCTCTGCAGTTTCTGTCCATCAGAAATTGTCACGTAAACTACTGGAATGGTTAACGCTTTTGCCATCGTCTTATTCGTCGTTCCCATGAGTACAAATGTGTCCCACATGCAGCATACCTGATGTTTCGTGCCACTTACATGTCCGAACGTCGAGTGCCCCGTCAGTACACACGACCTCGACTTGCACTTCAAATTGCTACTACACTTCTTAGAGTCTGTGCGCCACACTGGAGTGGCCAGTTTATCCACAAAAGCTTGACCGTGACTGCAGTCGTACTCAAACACGGGCTTGTCGAGCCTTGCACTACCTGAACCATTAACAGCCAAATGGTTCCCCATAGTCTTCTCTCTAATCGACACCATCCTCTCACCACATAAATCGGAGTCATTTCGACACGCGATGGCTTCAAAAACCGCTTTTTTCGTGCCTCGAATAATCACTCCGGAAGCTCCAGCGGCTTGAGCTCGCAGTGCTTTTGTAGCGAACGAACAATTGCCACGATCAATGACGACCAGCGAATTATTAATTTTCATGGTGTTTTTGCTGGTATCAAGATAATGTGGTGCACACCCGTCACGATTGTCGGCTGGCAACTGCTCGACTGGCTGGTAGCGGGCGTTCGAGCGCGTGGGAAGGGCATGTCCCCAACCGGCCGCGGCGCTGGGTGAACAGAAAAGGTGCTGTACAAAGGGGAAGGGATCATGTGCGGTAGGAGGTAGCAGATGCAAAGACAGGATCCCAGTGGGTACGACGCAGTGTGCGCGAGGGAGAGAGAGCAGTGGCAGCAGATGTAGCCATTGCACAGTCATCGACTTCACGAACGTTTGCAAAGGGAGCGCTTTTGATATCCTGGTAGTCAAATTTAACAAACAGAGTCACGGCGGTTATCTCTACCGGTATTGCTTCAGTATTCTTGAACATAAAGACAATTGACAGGTACACACCCACCCAAACTGTATAAACTAATCATTTGTCTTACATTGGGTGAGTACCCGAAAACCCAATAATCTGAGTTTAAATAATATTATTTTTAGGGAATTGCTAAATTTACACCACTTTTCCTTAAATTCACACCCTTCTTTTAAAATCTTGTATAGACAATCCCTATTTATTTGAAGATTTATTTTCTGACAAAGGTATTACTCGACAATTTAGGCCTTAATTGGCAAGTAATACGTAAGAAAAACCCAAATAAAACTACTCACGCCTGTGGTCTAGCTCCTCCAGCGTTAAATGATAGGGCACCACGCAATAACATGCTTCCTCCTCCCGAGGTTAAGTTTGCCAGTCAATAGCAACTTATGGATACTGTGCAGACGTTCGCACGTGGCCAAGGCTATGCTGTTACGATTAATAGTCCAATTGCAGGAAAGCTTTTCTACACCAAATGTGATTGAGGTGCAATAAACGTTTCAAAGGTTGGAAAAGAGCGACAACGCCGGACCAGCCCACGCCGAATTGATTGCCCGTTCCTTATAAATGGACATTTCTCCCAAAAAAAGGGTAATTGGAAGTTAAACGTGATGAATGGATGCCACAATCAGGAGCCGTCACTCCATTCGTCTGGTCATTCGACTCCTAGAAAGCTAAATAGCGAGCAGGCCGATACTGTCAGAAATATGACATCGGCTACTGGAGGAGCTAGACCACACCTCGATCACATTTATGGTAGACACGCTTTCCTGCGATCGAACTTTTATATACAGCAGCGCGCAAGATGTCGCCCGTAGCCAAGTGGCAGAGAAAGTACTCGTCTTTGTCCAACGTCGATTGCGTACCTTGCATATATAAGATTTTGAAGGAAGGGTTTACATCTAAAAAAGGGTGTGAATTAGCGATTCCCTATTTTTATGCCCCCCCACCATAAACCACATCTATGAACTAAAGCGATTAAATATTTTGCGATGACGTGCCATCAGATTATTCTCTATACGATTCAAGAAAGAGATCCATGACTGTCTCTTACCCATTACGATTGTGTGCTAGAAGTACAAAATCGTCTTAGCCAGAAATACAGCACCGGACGCGGCGGTGAATCGTGGTATCTTGCTAAACGTAAAAGTTCGGCACTCCACTATAGGGTAAAAGCTCAAGACAGGCAGGTAACTAAGCTCTTAAACTACTGTTTCTGCGCCTCGGTGTTTTTGCATGGCCAAGGCGGTCAAATGATTTACACCCCTAGTGTAACGAGGCACTGAAGCAATACAATGTACAAACATAGTGGCGCTACTACTACCGACAGCAGCGTGAGCAGTGCCTCGCTACCTCTGTAATTAGTCAGAGGAAAAAAAGCAACTAGAAACTGACTACTGGCAAATTTAAAACTTTATTAAGTATGATTAAGTCCAAATCATTAACATCTGTTTTAGTCCTTACTTTAGTGTTTTATCTACGCAATAGCATACTAAAATTTTGCTCACCACTCATTGCGCGCGTACATCGTTCGTTGATTGGACCGCTAGAGCTGGCTGATATGAATGACCCGTATCATCCAATCAGTGAGTGTTTCTGAATAATACCCCTATGGTAATATTCACAAACATCATCAACCTTTACATTTGCATTACATTTAAAAAGTAACAAGAATTAATTACATGTAACAAGCCCATCCCGTTGCAACTATTTCAAATTTGTATCACACTGGCAGACGTCATGGACTGCGCGCTACAAAAAACGATATCGTTTTGCTCACGCCATAACTAAGTGATGCAGACAGAGCTCATCCGGAACCCATCCGTCGCCACATTTGTTCGCCTGCCGCGACTTTGTCTTTAAAGCTTTCCAAAAGCTAAGACCTCTGAAGCGCTGGAAAAAATGGAGTCTGTCGGTTGGCACAGTTTGTAGCGGATCTACCACAGCTCTAAAGTCCGAGGAAGACTTTACGGGTTAAGTCAGAGGCTTAAGGCTAACAGCTAATTAGTTCTAAGGAGCTAATATATCAAGTTAAAGATTCGGTTTGTTCTACGGAACCTAGCGCGAACTCTATGAGCTACTGGCCCAGACTACTGTAGTTCTAAGGAACTACACGTACGATGTGCAAAGAGGACTATTGGAGTCTAAGGACTGTCTAACCCACGACAGTTCTAAGGAACTGTCAAGCGCAAGGTGCGAAAGGGTGAAGTCAACGGAATTCTGCTTAAATGAGAACTGAGTTTATTCAGATTTAATTTTTAAGGAAATCCCTACTTTGGGTACCCTATGTACTACTTAAAAGAATTAGTACAAATACCAGTATTCGAACTTAGTGGATGGTTGGCACGTCACTCAGTCATCAAACTGCCACGGTAATTACCATAGCTCAGAGAAAACCGACGAATCGGTATTCTCTATTGATAGATAATCTGAGGCCACACCAGTCTCCCATATTACACACGGGAGGTCTTCAACCGTTTGGAAGTCGGAGAGCCCGTTGCCATGACCCAAGACCTGTGAAGAAGATGATGAGGCAGCCTGTAGCCACGTACCCGTGCAAACAACCGAATCCAATTGCTCTAGCAAGGGTTACAATGGTAGGGTAAGCTTGCGTTTGTGGAACTGAAACGCATGTTTATCGAATACCGGACGTGTGGAACCAATAGAAACCGTATGGAGCACTGTCTGAGCATTTTTCACGATGTCGAGGGTGTTTGTAAAAGACTACTGCTAGCTGCCTGAGGCGCTTAGCCCATCTTGAACGCGTACCGTCCGACTCCGTGTCTAGATCTGGTAGCTCCATCACAAAGCAACAGTGCAGCCCGTCATAGGCCTGCTTCAATGAAACTAGACCAACATCTGACAGCAAACGACCTCTGTGACTCAGTCACCTATTCGAATTCATGACAAAACGGGGAGATGTCAAACTTACAAGACAGGCTACAGATCCAGTTCCGACCGGACTAGAAAAGGTGACTCGAACAAAATAGAAGTCGCCCATTTCCGAATGCGCCCATGCACCGTTGCGGCTGGGGTTGGATGTGGTGGGTGTGCACGTTTGTGAGTGATTTGTTTTATGTTGCAAAAAAAGATTTATAAAACGACGTGTTTGTCGAGACGAATTTTTGGTCTCGACAGATTTACGGTGCTCGTAATCGTGTTTATAAATGTGATTTTTGGGGGATAATATAAGCACTATTTATAAACTCGGTTTATCGAGGTTTTGTTAGTCACTCATTGTAACGTAATGCGTAATATGTAAGTTATTGAACTAAAAGGTACTGCGACCATGACCAAGACTCCACTGCACGATTCTCGTTCAATTTACTTCACTTCAACAATCCCTCATGATGGACGCCAAGAAAACGGCGCTCAAATCAAGTACAAGGGCGATCTGCACCGTCTGCGCGTGTACCATACGTTGTTCTCTCTCAAGGCCATGACGGTGCCCTTTGCCGAGACGTTAAACCCTGCGCCCGGAAGCTTTGTGGTGCATTGCACGGACATGGAGAGCAACTGCTTGAACGTTACGTCTCAGGACTAGTACGAGAAGAAATAGCGTGATATCGCCAGCTGTGTCCGGCCCCACCTCGGTGCGTTCTGAAGCCATGATCCGCTCGGCGATCGCGTTCCAAGAGAATGCGGCAGTGCCGATCTTTGAGGCCGTTAAAAAGCTCGTGGGGACGCTGAATGTAGCCATGATAAGGGTCAAACACGAGGAGTTGGACGACATAGCGCAGCAGCCGGGGCTGTAAAAGAAGAAAGAGGCGCCCAAGAGGGCGATCCGGAACGCCCGAAAAGTGGTCCAGGCAGCGCGCATGAGCATTCAGGAGCTACCGATGACCGGATCATGAAGGAGACGACGGATGGTTTGGATTGTGCGGCTGAGGACATTGGCGAGTTTGCCAAGGAGTTGGTGGTTTCGATTCGGAATATGGCCCCGGTAGAGGCGGAAGTGGCGCCTATTTCAAAGACTTTGCGGCATTTGACGGACTCTGTGGTTGTCGAGGAGGCAAGTGAAGCAACGGTGGAGGCTGCAATTGAAAAGGAGTGGGAGCACGTGATCGAGAAGGACTTAATGTCGGCTTTGGTGGATGAGACGACTGTGGTTGCCAAGCCCGTGGTTGCTACTCCAGTCGTTATGGAGCCGGTGGTTGCCGCTCCATCGATGGATGAAATCAAGTGGTCGGAGGAGCTCTTTATGGTACGTAACATCTTTCAGGTTATGGAAACGTTCGGGGCTGTAGACTGTCTGGAGCGGTGCAACGGTAACGTGCTGGTAGTGGTGAGTGCTTTGATGGAAGCGAGGTAGGCGCCGAGTGGAGGACGTTGTCCGTTTTGATGTATAGAGTGATGACTAATCATTGAATTGTGCCCTAGTGCAAAGGCTCTAGTTGCAGCCAACTATCAAGAGCGCCCAGCAGACTTGATAATCTAAATCGAAGCTTTTCGTTTGTACCAGAAGCGCATAGGCGATACCCCTCGTCATAGCGGGGAAGTAATGTGCGAACACGACCAAACGGACGACAAGTTCACGACGTCATCTTCGTCCGTATCGCACAACCACTAGAAAAAGAGATTAACGTCGACGTACGACCGCATTTCTACGAAGAGCAGCAAAAATCTCCGCGCCAACCAGCGATGTGTAGAAAGCCTCTTTAAGCGGTGCAACACAGTCTACTGTTTCTATCCAAGTTTAATAGTGCAATATGCTGGTCACACCCTTCTCCTGATCAAATGTCGCCGTGCTATTTTATGGAGTAAGACCAATTTTATGCATTTACGTTACGATTTGTGACAAATGATACTTTTCACAGTCTGGATAAGTGTGTACGTATCAAATAGTAACCGAAGATCGCAATGCTGTCAAGATTGGCAGCTTAAATTTCACGCATTTACGTTACAATTTGTGGTAAATGGTTAATTTGAACAGCTCGGGTGGGTGTGTACGCATCAAAAGATGGGTGTGTGTACCGATCAATTTCCTTCATTAATACTTCGAGTAATTCTTTTTACAGTATCGGAAAGGCAAGTGTTTTGTGTTCTAATTTCTAACTGAAAAGGGGGTACTTCATTCTAAATAGACTTCAGCTCATCGAGCGTTTCGTTTTGTTGACGCGCTGCGGTCACTAATTGATGATCTTGCTGATATGACGCGTCGGTTCGTATGCATCACGAAGACACTAATCTGATTTCCATTACTTGCTGGACAATAGAAAGATTTACATAGGGTGAAGACAAACTTTTTTGTCGACTAATCGATGAGTTATGCGTCAAAGCACATCATTTATGAAGATATAGCAGTAATAGTAGCGACAAGAGGTAGAGCTCATCCACTTTCTTTGCTTCGTGTCTTGTCAACACAAAGAGTCCATTTGCCGATAAGCGTACCTACACTTGATCTACCAATTGGTTATCTAAATCATTCCTTCACTTGACGATCGAGCAACGTCAATCTTCGCATTTGAGTTTTCGTAAATGATCATTGTCAACAGGTGTTGCAGTTGTTAGCACTAGCGGTTCCTTTGCAGCTAGGAACTGCACTCACCGGTATTGGTGATAAAATTACTTGGATATTTGCAAGCCAAAGACCACCATGCAGATTCGACGTCAGTCACTATACAATCGCGTACCGAAACACTGCGAGATGATTGGTCTTTAGTATTCTCTGTTGTTAATTATTTAAGAAGAAGACTGCGATTGTAGCGGTGTTATGTCTCACAAAAGACTGTTATGGCAATTATGTGCCATCTTGTTTACGTCTCACAAAAGGCCGTTATGGCAATTGGGTTCGTCAGTTCGCCCAAGTGGTCGAAGTGGTTTCAGGTTGTACCGTTAACTTCTCAATATGCTTCTAAGTATTCCATCGGGGATTATAACCAATCAGATCCCACCATTGACAATACCGAACACCACTGGTTCTGATGTGATGCCTGATAACGTGTCGACTGGTCTGGCTAAGGGTACCGTGGCTTGTCCGACGGCCCCGGTTGGCGGATGTGCCCCTTCCTTTTCGTCCAGGTTGGGAGGGGCGGGCTCGGCCTCACCGACATCTGCATCTGCGAAATTATCTCGCTCTGGTCCGTTACCACCTATGGGCTATGCCTCGCTGCTTCAAAACGGGGCCGGTCATATGAAGAAAGGCAAACCTACCTCTCCAGTGTCCTTCGATATCGCCAAGCCGTCCGATAGCGACCTCGTGGCGATGATTCAGCTCTATGATGATGGGGCTGATCGTGACGTAATTCTGCGCAATACGTGCCCTGAGCCCGGGCGTAGCAGAAGTCTTTCCGTGCTCGGAGGACTTGAAGGTGGGGCGCTATTTCGAAGGTGGTCACCTCCAAGTATATTGACTCCCTTTTGAGTGACCATGGGAATGCAAAAGTCGAGAAGTTGCTTGTCAGCGACGATATTAATGTGCTTGAGCGGACCTTAAACGGTTCAATTTCGATCGGGGATAAGTCGATAGTGGTTAAGAGATCTTTGACGGGGGAGCATGTAAAACTCTCCTTGGTCATCAAATTGCTTTTAAGGAAACAAGTGTCCTCGATACTTGCCACTACGTCGACGATTCGGTGTTTTGGGGTCAATAGCACCAGATCTTTTCTTTGATCTTCTCCGTTCAAGAGGAGCCTCGCCCCCGTTTTATGCTCGATTGGGGGCTAGCCAAGATACTACGCCATGAAGGGGACAAGTACGGATCTACATCCGTTCTAGTTCGAGACCTCCTTGTCTGGATGTTTACGGTGAGGCGGTGGACAAGTTTGTTTTTCTGGTTTGGTGTACCCCGTGCGCCATTGGGATCCTTTACGTATTCGACCTCAGGCGCCCTATCATCGACGATCGCGATACTCATTGGACCTAACCCACCTGGCTTCTCTAGCTACAGCTAAAAAAACCGGGCCGTTGGACAGTCTATCGGCTCATTAGTCAAGAAGTTTCTGTTACTACAGGTGGTGAATCAATGGCAAATTTTGGGGGAAGCTTGCATGGCAAAACTTTGCCTATGCTTCCACCACTGCCTTTTGGCGCGTCGTCTCTAGTGCCGGCCTTCGCCTTCTGTCGCTAAGCCAAACGTACCAGCTATCTCTGCGACACCTTCTCAACCGGTGCTAAATAAGTTCCAATTCCAACGGAACCGTAAATGTCACCATGCTTGGACTAGCGAGGCTACAGAGCGATCGTGGTGCACGCCGCATTATTATGTTGCTCTTTCCACTCTCGATGCGCAGTTTGGTGTTTACTAATCGACTGCTGACAACAATTACTCTGCTAATCACCTCTGGATCATTCTGATACGTTGTTCACCGCCGAACGATTTAGCGTCTGCGGCTAGCTGCTCTAGATTGATCGACGGCCTCGCTGTCCGTCCTGATTGTGATCAGACGGTGCGCGATCTTTTTCACGATCTTGGATCGGATAATGTTGCTCAGCCGTCCCGTGAAGAAGCGCTTTGTCCCCCTGCAAGCAAAACTCGAGCACAAATTCACAAGACCACTTGTTATTCTGGTGATCCGGGTATAACTAAAAGGCATTTCGGGATGAACCGGGCGCCAGCCAAAAAGTGTTTGCTGACCTAATGCAGAAAGAGATTGGACGCGTTCAGCTTGAAGAGGTCATTGGCATTTATCTAGATCAGCGGCTCGTTTAAGCTGCTAAATCTGACTGTTGTAAGCCTCTTTCGTCGGCTTGTACGCCTTTTGGTCTACCTGGTGATCTTACAGGTCTCGTTCAGACTACCCGATTACTCTGCCAACTGTTTGGCAACGAAAACCGTGAACTAGTTGATACGTCTCGTGCATTAGCCTTTTTTTTTACAATTTTGTTAGCGTCGGCACCAAGGATCATGCAAATTGATGAATGGTTGGTCATTGGTTGTGGCCATCCATTTCAGTCGATTGGTACTCACCCGATTCGTCTACTACCGATCGATGTTGTAACGGGGTGAATCGTTACATAACAATTTATAAGAAATTGTTAATAGAATATAACTATAAGAGTTATATTCTCAGAATATTGTCATAAGGACAAATATTCTGTAGCACTTACGAGTAGTTCCTAATTGGTTGATATAGGCCATCATATCAACCAACGAAGACGCGCCACGACAGACGCACGCAATGAGTGGTGAGCAGATAGTTGATTTACACATTTGTATTTAGACATAGTTAGATGAAGATAAATAGTGATTTATTGCAGACATTAACTATTATAAATACAGTTCTACTTTTACTTTAACCAAGTACTCGCTTCTTCTTACCGTCTTCCTCTGCACGTACGAGTGTACGTGAAGTTACGAGGCACCGCCTTATTCTGTCATCAGAATAAGTAGCTTGTACTGTCACCAGTACAAGCTTCAGGGTGCCCCGTTACACCTGGTAGCACTTTGTAGTCCGTCCAAGGACCACGTTCACATCCAACATGAATATGTTGGATGATGAAGATGACCAAAGCTTTCACGCTACGCGTGACGGCTACTCCCATTTGAGCGATGTCGAATGGGATGCGGTTGAACGGATGGGTTCAACCATGGGCATCCATGCTGTTAGCGTCATGCTAGAGGCTCTCAATAGAGATGCCCAACATGACGCCATAAGGGCGCGTCGCATCGACGACGGGGATATGCAAGTTGCATTTGCCCAGTCAAATCTGGCAGGACGTGCCAAGACTTGGGCACTGGGGCTCAAGTTGCACGACCCATATGCGTTTGGGTCGTTGGAAGTCTTCAAGTCGCGGCTCAGACAAACGTTTGAACCGCCTAGAGCTGAGCTCAGATCTCGAACCGAACTCTTGAAGCTCAAGCAGGGTAAGCGTGATGTGCACGCTTACGCGCAACATATACGACATTTCACGAGTTGTATAAGTTCCAATCCGGTGGATGAACACACGTTGGTTTCGGTGTTCATGCAGGGTCTTGCGGATGGTCCCGTCAAGACTCACCTGTTCCGGCTTGAACTAGATTCACTAGAACAAGCCATTTCCATTGCGGAGCAGGAAGACTTCAGTCTGAGACAGGCTCGCGCCAGCTCGACATCATATCGTCAACCGAGACGATATGACAACGGAGGTCCAGAGCCGATGGAACTCTGTTATGTAGAGAGCGAGAGGGCTCTCTCTACAGGCTACAAGAAGTTGCAGAGATGCAACAAATGTCAAAAGACAGGACACTACGCTTATGAGTGCATTTCCCCTTGTCCAGTGTCTCGCGACACTGGGCGTAGTGACCGTCCACCCATGAGAAAGGGGCAGGGACGAGGGTCCGCTGTTGGTGCAAAGACGCAACAACGGGATGGACCGTCAAAAAACGGACAGGATCAGTAGGTGCGGAGCACCCTACTGATCCAGCAACGTCAAGAGAATTTGTAGGCCTCTTGATGAAGGTTGCTCCCAACACACAAACGTTGTGCGTTGCTGCTCTAGGTAATGAGGTCTCACTCATTACCTTGAAACTCGAAGTGACGAATAAGTTGTCCCTTCGAGCTCTAGTCGATTGTGGGGTGTCCAACAATTTTGTGCGACGCCAATCGCTAGAAGATGGTCACTTTAAGTTCAGTGAATGTGACACACCTCCTACGAGGATGACGGTACGTCTTGCGACAGGCGCATCCGTAACCGTCATGAAGCGTATAGTGAAGATCCACTATACGCTAGAAGATACCCAATATGACGATGACTTTATCGTATTGGATTTGGATGACAAATTTGATGTCATCCTTGGAATACCGTGGCTCAGAAGGTACGAACCACGGGTAAACTGGCAACATCGAACAGTAACGATGCCTGCCGCTTGTTCATTAGATGGCCATCTGATGAACGTTTTGGAGCGTCCACAAGCGTGTGGATGTACTACGAGTGAGTGCGATGGCCTCACTTGTGGTACGGTCGTTAGTACGACTGCACAAAACCTTAGTGTACCAAACGGTTACACTTCGGAGCAAAGTTCCGGCGGCTGTGAGGAAACACAGGCTGCGCCGAAGGTCCACCACTCGAATAAGTCGGGTGGACTGGGACAAAGATGTATCCCTAGCGGGGAACATCTAGAAGAGAAACAATCGATCGCTCAGGTTGAGCGAAACGATAATCCTAGATCAACTGGAGAGTCTTTCGTAGAGGATCTCGCTGTGGTTGCGCAACCCCAGCTAGAGGGAGTAAAGGGAATAAGTCCCAAGATTACAAATACGGCGGAAATAAGTTCCCCGAAACACGCGGGAATAAGTCCCCGGGAAGACGAAGGAATAAGTCCTTCGAAGCCTGAGGGAATAAGTCCTCATCCTTATGCGGGAACGGGATATACCCTATACCGCAGTTAGCACGCCTAGCGGCATGCTCTGGGAATGGCTAGTAATGCCACAAGGGCTCAGTAATGCCCCTGCCACGTTCAACAGATGTGTATCACATCTGTTGAGACCAGTACGAGAATTCGCGCCGAGTTATTTCGATGACGTATTCATCCATAGTCGAGCTATGGATGGAAAGTCGGACGTTGAGGTTCACAGGTACCACGTCCGACAAGTTCTTACAATCATGCGAAAGCATCAATTGTATGCTAACCTCAAGAAGTGTGTATTTGCAGCAAGCGAAATACCACTTCTTGGGTGCATCGTTGGTAAGAACGGTGTACGTCCTGATCCCGAAAAGATCAAGGCGATCACCGACTGGCCTGTGCCGGTTGATGTCAAAGGTCTTCGAAAATTCCTTGGGATAGCGGCGTATTTGCATAAGTATTCACGCAATTACACCGAGATGACTGTGCACCTCTCTCGTTTGTTGAAAAAGAACGAGAGGTGGTTATGCCACGCTGAATGTCAGCGCTCCTTTGAGGGTATCAAGCAGAGCTTGATACAATCCCCAGTCCTAGCAATAGCCGATCAAGACAGGCCATTTCATGTGGTCTGTGATGCCAGCGATTTTGCAATCGGCTGTGCATTAATGCAGTACGACCTAGAAGGCGTTGAACGCGTCGTCTGCTATCAGTCGCGTCAGCTGCAACCAGCTGAGCGGAACTATCCAGTGCATGACAAGGAACTCCTTGCCATGAAGTATGCACTCGCGAAGTTCAGAGTCTATCTATTAGGAGATAGACCCTTCGTTGTTTACACTGACCATGCGTCATTACGCACGGCAGTGAATAGCCCGCACCTTTCACAACGAATGGCGCGGTGGTTGTCATTCTTTGCAGAATACAACTTTACGGTCGAGTACAAACCAGGACGACTTAATGTCGTCGCTGATGCACTCTCACGTCGTCCCGACTTTAAAACAGTCGTGAAACCCAACAGTGAGACAGTCACTGTTGCGGTTATGACGTCCTCAGTCCCATCTACAACGTTGTATGATGATGTGAGGCGGGCATACGCCCAAGAT